AACATTTCTATGAATGTGTAAGTGTAACTGTCGTGTTTTGCTAACAACTCATGAACTCAATATAATCATTTGGAGCTTCTTTATAAAATACTTTTCGAATAATTAAAGGATCGATTCATCATATTATTTTTTATATAAATATATATTTTTACTAAGAAGCAAATTAATTATAAACTTGTTAATAAAAATTAAAGGCAATTGGAAATATTTGGTCCCAACTGTTGGTTAGAACCTTTTGTCCACCTAAGGCTACAACATTCTCATAATCCTTTACTTTGTTTTTTTTTTTTTTTATTTTTTTTCCACCTTTTCTATTTTCCATTATAAATGTACTAATTACTAAACAATTAATTTCCCTTCATCACGTATGCCATGACGTTCATCTGGGTTTTTTTTTAATAAAATATTATTGATCTTATCATTTTTATTCATTGATTCCACTTTGCAATTTGTGCTAGTTGCATCTAATTATCTAAATGGTCTTTTTTTTCTCTTAAAAACAAAATCAATAATAGAAAAAAAGGCACATTTAAACACTATTTCTTTATAACTTACTTAAGTCACCCGATATGAAATCAGTGGCAATTTTGTTAGAGTATATATTTGTGAGTTGTCTCACATCGTCAATACAGGAAAAATAAGTTTAACTTATACGTCTAGTGGGCTTACTCTGCTTTTGATGCGCTTCATATTCATGGGACTATGCTCGTGTTTCTTCAAATTTCATAAAATATGAGCAATCATGTTTACTTGCAGAAAAATGTTACAAAGTTAACTTTAAATGTTTGGCAACTCATTTGTCAGCTTTTGTTTTTTTTTCACATAATTTACAAGATGCTTTGTCTGAGTACCAACATTTTTTCTCTATTATTTCATTCGATCTTGGGAAAATTTCAAAACTAGTCCCACAGGTATAGGGGGGTGACATTTTTTGTCCCAACGGAATTCAAAAAATATTAATAGTCCCGCAGCTTTTGAAAAATAATCAAAAGTAGGACTTTTTTAATTTTCCGGCCTGGAATACCACGTGGCACACACGTGGCGGGACTATTTAAGATTTTATGGATTCTTTTGGGACCAAAAATGTCATCTCCCAAAACCTGTGGGACTAGTTTTGATTTTTTTCCTTGCCATTGTACTCAGCCACGTCAGATGAATGTGGCCACGTGGCATTCCGGGCCGGAAAATTGAAAAAAGTCCTACTTTTGATCATTTTTTAAAAACTGCGGGACTATTAATATTTTCTGGATTCTGTCGGGACCAAAAATGTCAACCCCTATACCTGTGGGACTAATTTTGAATTTTTCCCTTCGATCTTCAAGGTTCATTCAAATGAACCTAAATATAATAAAGAAAAATAAGATATTGATGATGGGCAATTGGACTAATAATTAGAGTACCATCTATGATTAACATCTACATGTGATGATTTGGGGGAAAAAAAACGTGTGCTAGTTCATTTTAATGTTTCTTTTTATCATCACTATACAATCTTTTCAGATTAAGGTTTGGCTAATTAAGGAAACAACCTTAATTATTTTTAGTTAAAAATTAGAACAATCTGAAGAAACAATAATTAATACTTATATCATACATGTTCATTATATATAACCACCAAGTCCTTGATGAAACTTGACACATTGATAAAATCTAGTTAACTCAATTCAAGTATATACAAACGGTCTACTTAGTAATACCAACACTTGTAATATCATACATATGAATTTTTTAGAATCTTATAAAATCAATTATTCTATATGTTTTGATAAATAAAATAACATTTAATAGTTAATAACATTTAATAGTGAATGTATACATATGTGTTTGAATAATACAATTATGACCCAAAAGTTATTGCCTTCATGGATATCGAGAGGCCAACTTTGTTGCGGACTACTTGACTTCTTTGGCGGTGAAGGGTCCGTGTGGTCTTCATAGGCTGGAGCACCCACCGCCTGGGGCGGATATATGGTTAACTCACGATATGATTGGCGTGTCCTATTCTCGGAAGGTCGAAAGCTAGTTTTTATGTAGGCGGTGTCTCCCTTTCTTGCACAAAATAAAAATAAAAAATACAATTATTACATTCAAAACAATCCATTTATCTCCCATTTAACTTGCTAGACCCTCTAATTACAAGTTTTGTGGTTTGAAAAAAAAAAATAGAATTTATATACTAAACAAGTTTAGTTCATAAATTATGTGAACCCCATAAAGCAAGAGCACATTAAATTATTAAATATGGCTCCACAAATTCGACCCACAACCCATAACCCATTATTGACTTTGTCCTATTATTGTGGGGGTATGAATAGGTCAATTTCAAGGCATATAGAATGGGAACTATATATGGAAAAATTTATTACTATTTGGGTTGGTGATAGGTTCACTTATTATAGCCAACACTTCTCAAATAAAATGGGTTATACACAGACCATGTGCTTTATGCTTGTTTTAACCAATTTTAGTTACATACAAAATGCAAAGTTCATATCACTTAGACACTTGTCAAAATTGATTGTAATCAAATATATGGTCCTCCTTGAACTATTTAGTCAATGATAGTCAATAAAAATTTGTTAGTAAATCATATTTTATAAACAGATTAAAATCGTGAGAAGAGAGTGCGGTCCACCAGATAAAGCGCGCTATAAAAGAGTATTAATTATGTCAGATACAAAAAACTTGATATTATTTGATGCCCTTTCTCATTTGTCCTTATGTTATTTTTCAAATTTATATTACATAAAAGAAAACTAATAAATTAATGGTTGATGATTATCATGGTGATATATATTTATATTCGCTTATTTGTCATTTTCAGTCCCTCCACCTGGAATATAAAAAAGCACACCAGCTCTTTCCTTTAGGGCGAAAATACAAAAAGTATAATAATTAAGTTGAATTTTTAGTCCGTTGTTTGAAGCTAATTTGGAAATTCGAAGCACTGAAGGGACATAAAAAGAACTTGTTATATTTTTTAAATGAAAAAATATATGTTTATGTATATAAATAAAATAAATTTAAATAAATTATGTTTAAAATATAATATTTTGTTAAGATGAATAAACATATACATTGATAAAATATGTCTGTTGATTGAAACTATTAGAATATAATACCACTGTGAGTTGTCACATATCGTTTATACAGGAAAAATAGATCTAACTTATAAGCTTAATGGGTTGCTCCTCCTACCACCAATTGGCCTACTGGGCTATTCCTCCTACCACCAATATTTTGGGATGAAACTTCACTTGGACTTCATCTGAACTATCCCTGTCATGGTGCGCAGAGCCACAACTGAAGTTGTCCCACATCTCGCTTCATATGCGTTGGACCGCACCCGTTGTATCCCGATTTTTACATATCCCGATTAATAGGTGGTTTTTTTATCTTGAGAGATGTTTTCATTATCATACAAT